TACGACTCAACATGGGCAACTCATGAATCTGCTGCAAAGATTGAAAAATTCAGCCCCCGGGAGGCCTGGACCACTTGCACCCGGGCAGGAACTGCTGGCACCGTCCTTCCCACCAGTGACAAGAAACCAGGAGAGGAAAAAGCCAGGGGCCCGAAGAAAGCTCACAGCCTCCTTCCTGTACCAATCCCAACCAATGGAACCAGGAGGGGACAGAGAAGAACAGCGCCTTAAATATAAGAAGCCACCTCTGATGGTAAAGCAAACGGGCAACAGGACTCAGGCTTAGCTCTCCCAGCAAGGAGGGGCCTGCCCAGGCCTCAGGGAGCCGGAGCACGCCACACGCCTGGTCAGGGAGGCACAGGGAGCTTGGTGCTGGGTGTTTGTGCTGACAGAGAGCAGACCTAAGATCACGGTTTTAAAGCAGGCCTGGGGCCATCTTGGTTTCTCACCCAGGGCCCCCAGGGTTCCAGGGCCACCGGTCACCTTTTCTGGCTCTACATGAGAACTACATGGACTTTCAGAATGGCCAACGATTGCCCCAGACCTATGTGACAGAGTCCCTGCAGGCAGGACCCAGAAATATAGTATTTGTTTTGAAGAACTTTCAAGACGATTCTAAGGTGTGCCATGGATTCCTCTAGACCTAGCCTAAACCTTCACAGCTGGTGAATCTAAAGCTGGGCATCCACTGCAGATCATGATCAGGTTGGCAGAAACACCCCCACTGATACAGGAAGAAGAAGACTTTGCCATCTGATCAGGTGATTTCTTTTTCTTTCTTTCTTTTTTTTCTTTTCTTTTTTTAATGGGGTCTCACTATGTTGCCCAGGCTGGCCTCAAAGTCCTAGGCTCAAGCAATCCTCCTGCCTTAGCCTCCCAAGTAGCTAGGACTACAGATGTGTGCCATCATGCCCAACTGGCTTCTCTGTTCACTTGCTGTGTGATCTTGGACAAGTCATTTAGCTTCTCTGTACCTGAACTATAAAGATAAATAACAATAACACAAAGAATATGAACCTGAACTACTAAATGGAATAAGGGATCAAAATCCCTGGCATGTTCCTCGTGCCCAGCAGGACTTCACAAAACTCTTGCTTCTCTCTCTTCTCTAGACTCCAAGTCTCCTAGTTTCCCGGTACAGATGCATCAAGACCCTTCACTCTGTGGTAAGCTCTACCCAAAGAGGCTGCGACTCTCACCGGGTCCTATGTCCCTGCAGCCCTGGCCTTTCCTCCTGCCAAGCACTCACCTGTGTGCAGCAGCAGGCTGCAGGGTCTGGCTAACAGGCAGGCTGAGCCCGTGTGGGTCAGGGTGGACCTGGGGTCCTGCCTTGGTTCCAACACCCTGCAGCAAAACTCAGTCCTCAGGGCCTTGGGTCCTCTGACCTCACAGGTGCCCACCATGGCCAGCCCACCTCCCTATGGACTCTCAGCTGCCCTGAGAGTCTCTATGCCTTATCTGTCTCTGGGTCCCCACTAGGGTCTGTGCTCCCCAAATGAACACTGAAAGAATGTGCCAACCACTTTCTGGCTCAGTCCACACAGCCAGGTGTTTGGCTGCCAGAGGAGCCCTCCTAGCAGACAGGAGGGCACTGTGGCGGACAGGACAGTGACTCGAGCCTCCCGCGAATCCTGGCCTTGGATCCACCCTTTTACCCACCAATAGGATGACCTGAGCAAGCCACCAAGCCCTGAGTCACAACATCCTCCTCTATAAAATGACAATGACCGTACCCAACCATTATGCAGCCACCACCACCCCCTCCCCGTGATGGCTAAAAACTTGCTTTCTAAACTGGAATGTGCGCCCCAGACTGTGATGTGCGGAGGGGACAGCTGGCCAGAGACAGGGCTGCAGCAACCACTAAGCCACCAGGAGGGCCGGTGGTCCCCATGCTGGCAGGGACAGTGGCCATATGAAGTCGGAGGATGGTGCTGAGAGGCTGACCAGGAGGGAACTTGGGGCCAGTAGGAAAAAACACCCACGAGTTCCTGAGGCTGCGGGGGGGCCCAGGGCTGCCCTGCAGGTGCTAACCAAAAATCCCAACCCCCCAGCCCAGTACCCACTTTCCAAAAGCCTCGAGCCCTGGGATGCAGGGACCTGCAAGGGGAGGCAGAGTTTACCGCAGGCCACACAGAGACACAATGACGGTCCAGGGTCCTGAGGCCAGCCACCACGGCCCTCTCTCCACCTCACCATCGGTCTCAGCCCACAAACCTCCTCTGCGCCCACTCGGATCTCTCTGCCTGCGGCTGCTTCTTCTGCCTTCCCCATTGCTGACACGCTCTGTCGCATATCAGAGGGCACCACCCTCTCCCCCAACAGGCCACTCTTCATCCCTGTGCTGGGGTTACTGCCCGGCTACCTGTCCCTCCCCAGAAGTGACCATCACAACTGGCACAGTGAGCTGCAGCTTCCTCTCTTGTGCCTCATCTCCCCAGGCGGATTATAATAATCACTGAATTATGCTCCACTTTGCAAACTCCTCTGCATGTTATTTAATGTAATCCCCACCATAAGCCCACAAGGTAAATATTATTATTATTATTATTATTATTATTTTACAACAAGGATACTGAGGCTTAGGAAGTTTAGACAACTTGCCTGAGGTGTCACAGCCCATCCACATCACACATGCCCAATGTCTTCTAGCCAAGGCCAATGATGTGCCCCATGCTTAGAGGCAGCCCTTCAAGGATGGGACTACTTCCAGCTGTGTGACCTCTGGCAAGTCACTTAACCACTCTATGCTTCCATTTCTGCAGAGCAAAATGTGGCTGATACCCACCTCGCCAGTTCTTTCCCAGATTAAAGAAAGGAATACCATAAAGTACTATATTTGGAATGGTGCCCAAACTAATAATTAGTTACAATTATTATTATACCTTGAATGATTCTCTTGGTCTCTTAGCTCATTAAAATTTTTTTCTAACTCACTTTGGTATCTTCTAATATATTTGATAGGTAGCCATTAAAAATAAATAAATTTTGCAGACTGACTAATGCTAGCTTTTAAGACTGTTGTATGTGGTTTGTTTGTTTTTTGCGTTACTCTCCTATTCCCCTAAAGAGTTGACAACAGAAAACTCTTTTTGCTACAGTCTATACCTCCTATACACACACACACACACACACACACACACACATGCACGTGCATGCACAGCCAATCTGGCCAATTACAAGTGTACCACAGAATATAAAATACCAGGAAACACTGACCTACACTCTCCTTGTTGGGCTGTCCCTGGATAGCTAGGGGACATGCCAGTCATGGCTGGAAATTTCACAAACCTAATTTCTATCACTATAATGAGTCAAACTCTTATGTGTCATTTCTCTATTGCTCCAATTTTGACTTATCTGAGACTTTAGAAGGAATGGGCTGTTATAAAATAACATCTGTTTCTTTTCCTCTTTCAAATAAAAGAAAGAAAAGCCAGTCATGGTGGCACATGCCTATAATCCCAGATACTCAGGAGGCTGAGGCAGGAGGATGACCCGTTTGGGGGCCAACCTCAGCAACTTAGCAAGACCCTGTCTCAAAATAAAAAATAAAAAGATCTGGGGATGTAATTCAGTGGTAAAGAACCCTGGGTTCAATTTCCAGTACCCAAAAAAATAAAAATAAAAAAGAATATATGCACCCTGTTTTGAGGAGGAAGAAGCCTCACGTGACCAGGTAGCCAGTCAGGGCAGCAATGCCCAAGGTCAACAGAAAACTTCCCTTTTCTCAAGAGTCCAGTTCCCAAAGTCAGAGAACAAGCCCCAAACCCAGGTGGCTGGGAGGCAGAGTGGATGACTCTCTCTCCCTCCCTCCTGGGTGAGGATGACCCTATTGCACACTCTCCAGGCTTCCGTGGGTGGGGCCAGAGGTTTCAGGAATAAGAGGAGGATGAAGTCCCTGGGGTAAAAAGCTTTATTCTTTGGAAGATTCCATTTATAGAACACTCAGGCAGGCCCTCGATATCTTTTCTATCTTTTCTACTTGCAGAACACGACGGGGGAACCAGCCTTTGGCAGTGGGAGACCAAGAGGATCTTCAAAGATTTCCTCTCTGTGAGCAAGAGGAGAAGAAATCTGCCCGTACAACTTTGGCACTGGAATTCAGAGAGGGGTTGTACTCTTTGAAATGGGTTTACATGCAGACGTAGGGACGGACACCATGAACGTGTGAGCTTTATTCAGTCCCATCAATACATCCCGCATTAAAAATGGGTTGTGGCTTTTTGTTGACACTGAGGAATTTTGGCGCCCAGCCCCGGTCAGGACAGACAAATAGGGTGATCTGTCAGGCACATCTTGCGGGGGGTGGGGGAGGGACCCACAATCCCAAGTCAGGAATCCGGGCACCGTGGGGCAGCGCACCCTGACCAGCAGCTAAGCGCCAGGCGCCCGCCCGGCATGCCTGCCCCAGCCCCCGGTCAGTCGCCGGGCTCGGCCACACGTCGCATTTCCTACATTCCTTCCCACTGCTCAGACCCCTTCGGCCCGGCCCGGGAGGCCGACAGCTGCGGCCGGCGGGAGCCAAGCAGGGGCTCCAAGGAAGGGGTCTGAGGGGCGGGGGAAGCCAGCGCATCCAGGACGCGATAGGAGGAGGGGAGGAAAGGCCCCCGCCTCCCCACCCCGGCCAGCGCCCCCACAATCGCGAACCCAAGTGGCCCCAGTGCGCTGCCCCTGCCTAGGGGCCCTCCATCGACCTCTTTTGGAGCCTCCCCGTGCCCCCTGAGCGGCGCTCGCCGAGTCCAGCTCCCCGCGGCCGCACGAATCCCGCGGCTCCTCGGAGCCCGCCCCGCGCCTCCCGCCCGCTGCCCAGGCCAGCAGGGATGCCCGGGTCCCCGACCTCCGGGGACCGCCCAGGTCTGCGCGCAGCGTGCGCCCTCTCCCGGGCGCCCTGCCCGATCCTCTACCCGGCCTGCAGGACCCCCGCTCCCTTCAGAGCCCCTCCCGGACACTGCGTCTCTCGGGGTGTCCCAGCGATGCCCGGAGTCCCCCGTCCTCACCTGAGTCCGCTCGAAGCTCTCGCGCTCCGCCGCCTCCAGCCCCGCGCCCACCCCGCGCCGGCTCAGCACCTTGGGCAGCGGGTTGGGCACCTGCTTCATGGAGCTGGCCATCCGATCCATGTCGCCGCGCGGAGCCGAGTCAGGGGCCCTCGGCCGCCCCGGGATCCCCGCGGCGCCGCCCGCCCCTCCCAACCCGCGGGGATCCGGCGCTAACGGGACGGCTCCCGCCTCCCACTGGCTGGGAGCGCCGTCCGTCTCCCCGAAGCCCCGCCCCCTCCAGAGAGGCTTCCCCGCCCGCCCCCGCCTCCGGAGTCGCTCGACTCGCGCTGCCTGGCGGGCCCCTCGGGGCCGCAGGCGCGCCGTGATTGGCCCGAAAGCCCGTCCGTCACCGAGGTCCCGCCGCGGGGCGGGGCCTGGGCGGGTTGCCCTGACCTGCCCCGGCTCGCCCCGCCTCCACGCCCGGCGCGCGCCTCCCCTCCCCCGCCGGCCGAGCGGCTACCCGGGCGCGCTGCGCTCCGAGGCCGCCGCGGCTCCTGCTCCCGCCGGGCTGCCCCGCAGTACCGCGGTGGTGGGCGGGGTAGCCGCCGGGGAGTCGGGCCTCCCCAGGGCGTCCCGGCCGGCCCGGGCAAGGCTTGTTTACTCTCCTCCGGCCCGGGACGGGAGCGCGGGAAGGACGGCTGCACCGCCGGGAAGCGCTGCCCCGCGCCGGCTCGACCCGCGGCCGCGGCCGCTGCATCCGGCCGCCGGTGCCCAGCCGCGCTCCGCCTTTGCTCTCTCCGGCATCCTGACCCTGCAGGACCCCCGCTCTACCCGGCCTGCAGTGACCGCAGAGCCGCGGTCCTGGGGCGCTGGGCTGGATCCACGGGAACCTCCGGGACTTCTTCCCGGATCCGCATCGTCTGAACCCGGCCGGGGCTTACTTGTTGGTAGAAGCCCCTGTAGACTCTGTGTGCCCACGCAACTGAGGGCCACCCCGCGCGTCCTGTGCCGACGTCGGCGAGGGCACCAGCTAGCGAGGGAGAGTGCTCCTCGGCGAAGATGCGGAGCAGAGTTACAGGTCCCCCCACCCGCGGTGCCAGTTTGGCTGTTACCAAAAAATAAAATAAAATCTTTGAAGCCCAGAAGAATGCATGACGCCTTTAAGTACTAAACAATATGCAATTTGGTGGTGCGAACTATTATATGCTTACTTACCTACGAGCTTAATGGTGCTGGGGATTGAACCCAGGGCCTCGCGCACGCTGGACAATATTTTTTTTTTAATTAAGAGTTTTTGATAAAATCCACATTCCAGGGGCTGTGTGACCGAGCTCTTGCGTAGCATGCACGAAACCCTGCATTCGATCTTCAGGGTTTGATCCCTGGTACCAGACACACTTACCAGCCCGCAGGAAGGTAGCATTCAATAAACAAGGGAAGAAGCGGGTGGGCATTTGCAGGAAATAGGGAGCCGCTGAATTCTTTTGCTCAGATGTGTGCTTTGAGGTGCTGGCCTTGTGGGGACTGGATTACAGCTGCAGGACAGAAAACGGAATCAAGAGGCAAACGCCAGCGGCAGGCGAGACAGTAGAAGGCCTAGACGAGAAGAGAAAGTTCGTTCCCTGGGGAAGTTAGGTGACTGAGGCTTGGGCGTAGGGGCTGGGGGAAGGGAGGCCGGCTGGTTGACTGGAAGGTGGTTCCCTCCGGGCTGCCTCTGGGGCAAGCAGGAAGGCGGTCTTCACCTTTATGTAAATCGCTGGGGGAGGGAGCGTTGGGAGTAACCTCCCTTTGGGTTTCTCTGGAGAGAGGTTGTGTCACCTCGTGTTCCAGCTTTGGAGTCTAGAAAAAGATGGGTGACATTAACTGGGGAAGGGAAGCCCCATGGCTGGTTTCAGAAGAGAAAACTGATTTTAGAGCAATGTCCTCATAGTGAAGGCTGATGTGCAGGTGGATGGATGGAAACAGAGGGACCCAAGAAGAAGAATGGGAGGAATACAAGCTCCCAAACCAGGAGCAGGAGGGAAAAGCAGTACCAGGGGACCCCGAGGACATGTGTCTGTAAATTGCACCCTATTGGAAGATAATACCTGCATGTGGTGTTCAGGGGCTGTGAAGTTGGGTCCTTTAGAGTTGTAGCGGGAGAGGATTTCACACTCAAAGGGGTAATGAGTTAAGGAGCACTGTGGAAAGGTTACCTGGGCTTAGGGAGTCCACCGGGGAAAGTAAATCCCTGAGGAATGTTGGGACAGAAGGGAAGGACGTCTGTACCCCAAAAGGGACAGGGAGAGGAGGGAGCTGTCCTAGGACCAGCTGGGGGCTCTTGTCAAGGCAGAGTAGCACCTCCCTTGGGTAGAAAGCCAGTTACTGGGGACAGTTGTCTGGCCTGCTTGGTTTGGGGTGAACCCCCAGTCTGTCCTCTGATTTCCTGCTAGTGCCTCCCAATGGCCACTGGTAACTGGAAATCAAGGGTGAGGGTGTTGCAGCTGGCATTACCCCCACACCTTCACAAGGAGCAGAGTGGAGGCTGGGCCTGCAGGGCAAACAGAGGTCCCCCACACAGGGGAGTGTTTTGAAGGAAGAACAACAGAGAAAACAGATGCGATCCCTCTTAACTCCAGGTTCCCATTCTGAGCCCTGCCCATGCTCCAGACCCAGATAAAGAATGATTTATGACTCTTTGACCAGATTTTATGGCATCAATAAACACTGGCCCTTCAAACAGGGATTAAGGGATCAGCCTCATTCTTATTAGAATAAACCAGAGCTGGAACCAGGAATTTGTGGTTTGGAGGCACCCTGTAGGGAAAACTCAAGCCAGCTACCTCCTCCTTGAAACTCAGCAAGTTCAAAGCAAGGATCTCCCACTTGCCAAGGATGGAGAGAAACCCTCCCCAGGGGACCAACCCACTGCAGGTCTCTGGGGCCTCACTCAGCTCCTACTTTGAATTCCAGCAATGTAGGAACTATTTGTCTCATGCCTTCCAGGGATGCCCTGTTTGGGGACATGAATTCCTAATCTTTGGGAAGCCCATAAATCTTATTACTCCCCTTTAATAACAGGTGAAATATGTCCTGTTCCATGCCTGGTTTGTTCAGCATTCAGCTAAATGAGGATATATAAGCTGATCACACTATTTCTATATTTCCTGGAGCCAGTGTACATTTGAACAAGCTTTAATGAGATGATTGATAGACATCAGGCTGCATTTATCCAAAGCATACAGTTGGATGAGTTTTGACACATATGGTATGTATACACACACGGGACACATGCATGCACACGAAACTATCACCACAATCAAGATGACAAACGTGTTCGTCACCCGCAAAGGTTTCCTCTTGCTCTTCTGTAATTCATCCCTCCCTCTCCCAAACCTCTGTGCCCAGACAACTACCCATCTGCTTTCTGCCACTGTGATTAGTTTGCATTTTCCAGAATTGTGTTTTTCTTTTTCTTTACTGTTTAGCTAGGGGCTTGGACTCAGGTTCTGGTGCATGCTAAGTAAGCACTCTAGCACTGAACTAACCCCTGACCGTAGAATCATACATGATGTGTTCTTTTTTCTCTGACTTTTTTTTACTAAGGATTTTTCCCCCCTGGGAATCAAACCCAGAGCCTCACATATATTGGGCAAGTGCTCTACCACTGAGCTACATCCCTAGTCCCAGCATAATTCTTCTGAAATTCATCTGTGCAGTCATGTGTATCCATTATTTATTCTTTTTTTTTCCTTGCTGAGTAGTATTCTAGCATAGGAAAATTCTACAATTTATTTATTAACCTATGAGGATCTGTTGGCTTGTTTCCCATTTTTTGTTTTTGTGTTGGTACTGGGAATTGAACCCCGGGGGCACTCAAACACTGTGCCACATCTCCAGCTCTTTTTATTTTTTATTTTGAGACAGGGTCTCACTAAATTGCTGAAGCTGGCCTTGAACTTGCAATCTTCCTACCTCAGACTCCCAAACTTCTGGGATTACAGGTGTGGGCCTGTCTGTTCCCAGTTTTTAACAATTACCTGAAAAACCTGCTCTGAATAGTCACGAAGTAGTCTTTCTAGGAACACATGATTTCATTCCTTTTGGGTAAATACCTGAAATTATAATGTCTGGGTTGTATAGTAGATGCATATGTAGCTTTTTAAGCAACTGCCAAGTTGTTTTCCAAAATGCTCGCACCGTTTTACATCTCTGCCTCCAGCACGTGACAGTTCCAGTTGCCTCTCTTCCTCCTCAACACTTTCGGTGGTCAGTCTTTGTCATTTAGCCATCCTACTGAATGTGCAGTGGGTCTCTTGGTGTTTAAGTTTGCTAACTTAAACTAATAAACTTGCTTCTTTTTCACTTCGCAGTTTATCATGGACCTTGCTACGAGTTGGCAAATATTGATCAAATTCTACCCTTTTTTCTTATTTATTCATATACACACAGATCTATAATTGTTCACAAGTAGGGTCCTATTTGTGTTTAATCCCCCAGACATCTGGAGAAGCATGGCCCCTTAGCACCTGTTTTCTTGTCCTTACCTTCTCCTGTAGGATGTGGGTTTGATGTTTTGTTTTGCTCTGGGTGCCCGAGATTAAACCCAGGACCTCATGCTGTGCCTGCTGAGTTTTTTGGACATCTGCTCTTCTCTCTGGTAAAGAGCTTATTCAAATCCTTTGCCCACTTTTAAAACCTTTTTATTTTGAAATAGACAAGACACTACACAGTTTCTATTTACCCCTCAGCCAGCTTCTTCTAGTGTTAACATTTTCCAAAACCATGGTACAGTTATTGAAGCCAAGTAATTCACATTGGTACAATTTTGTTAACTAAACATTTGGATTTCACCATGTACTAATTAATGTCTGTTCTGTTCCAAGATCCAATCCAACTGCCCACGTTGTCATTATCAATTTTCCTTAATCTTCTCCAATCTCAGTCTTTCCTTCTTTTATGACAGTGACATTTCTTTCTTTCTTTCTTTTTTAATATTCTTAGTTACAGATGGACACAATGCCTTTATTTATTTATTTATATGGGGTGCTGAGAATTGAACCCAGTGCCTCTCATGTGCTAGGCAAGCGCTCTACCACTGAGCCCCAGTCCCAGCCCTGTCTATATGTTTTTATATGTGAATGAACTTAGAAAAGGGCGTTAAAGGGAATAGTCCAGGATGCCAGTACTGGTTTCA